AGTTTTCAAATATGAACACGGAGCAAAGATGAAAAACAGCAGGCTTCAAAGCGATCGTCATGGCAATTCTACTTTAGAAACAGACTGCTCACACTGTAACAGGATCACTGTTGCCTGCTGAAGATCAGGTGTAGCTGTGGGTTGTCTTTGTGTTAGAACGGTGTGTGTCTGTGTCAGCGGTATAATCCAGATGCTTTTATCCTTCAAACAGTTTGAATTTTACCGTCACGCTCTTGTCCTTTCATGTGATAAAAATAAATGTCCACCATTGTCGTCCTCCCTGCACACAAACTGAAATCAGCTGATCGTAGCAACGCATACATGAAGAAAACAACGTGGTTGGTGGTGTTTTGTCTCTCTCTTGGTTCGCAGTGCAGGTAAAGAACTTTGGTCACACAAGTAACCACATAATTGTAACTGTGTGATGTGATTACTGACTTTAGTCCAGTAGCTCATTATATTACTGTGATCCTGAAGAATGTAATGTGTCACTGTGTATCAATCATACACTGCAGTTTTTCAATATTGCTGTTAAACATCAGAATATGGCTGTGTCTAGTTTGCAGAATGATTTAAATTTAAAAATCTTAAACCTGTAAAAATAAATGACAGCCCTGATCCGGGGGGTGTCCGTGTGTAGGCCTCACAGGAGGCAACTGGTTGTCTATTTAGTTATTTATTTGGTTAATATGTGTACAAATAAACCGATTGAGGAATGAAAGAAAAGAAAACTGAATAAAATCCAATAAAACCTGACTGCTCTCTGCCATCAGGTGTTTCTTCTAAATGCTTTATATATCTTGGCAAACCGGACAGTATTTTTATTCCTCTGTATCAAACACAGATTGGAAACAGGAAGTGGTTTTCATGCGTGCTTCTAAGTAAAGTTGAAATATATAAAGTAATAATAACTTTCTAATATAGCTGTCTCCTCATTCTGATGACGTTAGCTCATTCATCTCTCTTCTGGACCATTTCCAGTTCTTTATTTGGAGCATGTGACCATGCTTCACAGACAAGCTTCTGTTTTCAGTGTACCATGTAACCCAAACAACATTCTTAGTTCAATTTAATTTTCCAAGATTAAAGACTAATCAACTGCTTCAAGTCTACAACACAAGTTGCACACACATTCTGTAGATATAGATATATACATGAAAACTTGATGTTTTTTAAGTTTGTTTAAAGGTTTTTCTTTTTTCCCTTGTTATTTCAGTTATTTTTGCATGTTCAAAATAAATTATATCTATCTATCTCACAAGTAGGGATGGGTATCGTTTAGGTTTTATCCAATACCAGTACCAAACCAGTACTTTTGAAACAGTGCCGGTGCTTAAACGGTGCTCAAAGAATGAAGAACACAAACTTTGTCCAAAAACCTTTCATGTTTAGCTGTTTTTTTGTAAAAAGATAACAATGTTAGCCTTTTCTGCAGCTATAGGGGAATTATGGTATCACTATTGGCTGGAAGCAGTGCTTAAACAATGGGAAAGAAAAACAAAACAAAAAAAAACACCAACTTTGTCCAAAAACCTCTCATGTTTAGCTGTTTTCCACTTTTTAGCCTTTTTGGCCAGGGTGAAGGAAGTATCTGCCATCAAACAAGAAGACAGCCGCATGTA